ATTTTTATATATTCATGAGACAGGGGCTTAAGAGACAGCACAGAGGTAAGGTAAGGCATTTTCTTTGTATGTGGAACTATATATGTCCCCTGAGTACTGAGTACTGCCACAAGGAATTTTTGGGCACAGTTGGGTGTGTTCCTCCCAGTAAATAAATATTCATAAACAATGATGCCATTCCTTTAAAAAAAGACTTGGAAAATAATTGATAATCTGGTCATTTTAGATGTGCAATTCAATGGTTTTTAATTTATTCCAGAATCATGCAGCTATCACTATGATTTATTTAATTTATTATTTGTTTTGTTTTGTTTGATGGTGCTCAGTACTTCCTCCAGATCACTATCACGCAAGAACCCTACTACCTGTATTATCTCTCCAGCCTGATTTTATATATTTTATATTTTGGGGGGCATAGCCGGCAGTGCTCAGGGCTTACTCCTGGCCTGTGCTCAGAGATCACTCCTGACAGTGCTCATAGTACCATATGGGGTACTAGACTTTGAACCCGGCTTGCTGTGTGTATGGCAAATGCCCTATCCATTGTACTATCTCTGCAGTCCAATTTTATTTATCGTCCTTTAAAATTTTTGAATTATAGTTGTTAGTCTGTTTATAATGCTGTTTATATTTTTGATCTTTGTGTACATAATTACTTCACTTCACTATCACCAAAGTGCCTTAGACTCCATCCATGCTTCTGTATCACATCCTGTCACCTATTCTTCCCCTAATCTGGAGTTCTCAGCTTGTATTCCAGTACTAAGAATATTCACTGTCAATTTGAAAATATTTTTATTCTCTCAAAAAGAAACGCTATATCCTAAATTCATGAACCCTATTTCATCTCAACCACCCTAGAACTAGGCAAATACTCACCTAGTTTGCTCATAGATTTGTTTCTTTTGGACCCATAATATAAATTCAATCACTAACACCTTATCCTTGTGTCTAGTCTCCTTAGCATAATGTTTTCAAAGACATATTGTACCAGGTTTTAGTGCTTCATTCTTTTATATTGCCAAATAGTATTCTGCTGTATGTATTATCACATTTTATTTATTAATTTTTCCAATGAATAAACATTTGATTTGCTTCCATTTCCCCTTTCATAAACAATGGGGCCATTCCACTACTAAGTTTGTTATTTTTATTATGCTAGCTTGTGGTTGTGATTAGTTTTTCAGATCTGTGCTTATTTCTATCATCAAAGGCCTTCTTCATATTCTTCATATTACAAAAGTCTCATACATATGCTGCTTTTAGTAAATAGTTTGTGTTACAAGTGTGTCATTTGAAGAGGGAGCCTAATAGATTATTTATCTATTGAGAAGATCTCATATATAATGGAGTCAATTTCTCCAGTGATTCTTTAATGGGATAATGGTCCATTCTTCCATTTTATTTTTGATTAGAAGAGGATCGGACAAATAACTATACTCAGATCAGTGTAACTTCCCCAAACTCCTGCTAGAATGACCGTTTTGAGAAGAGATTAACTCAGGACAAGTAAATGACTACAAATGCAAAATATAAGAACCTTGATAATATCTTGAGAAATTTCTTCATAGAGAAGGAATCTTGAGATATCTCTTCATAGGAGGACAGTAGGAAACTTTTGGATTTAATCTTATAGGACATTACAATTCAAAGACCATCAAATTGTTTATAAAGTACTATCCCTCTTTTGCCAGACAGAGAGGTTTCCTGATTGTACTCTTGAGATATTATAAAGCATTTCTAAGGCTGCTATTAAACTAGGGAATTGTGAATTGGTAGGTTTTCAAATAAGTTCCTCCAGACTTTAGTCTGGTCTAAAGCTTCCTGTTTTTACAATTAACTCCTCATGTTTCTTTGTTGAGTGTGTGTGTGTGTGTGTGTGTGTGTGTGTGTGTGTGTGCGCATGTAAAAGACAGACCAGGAAGCATCTGGGGCCATCTGGCTCTAGAGGGGAATCCAGATTTTTAGCTAGTAAATGCAAACGGCGAATTAATGCACAACTCCTGTGCTAACCTAATCTTCAGTCACCATTGTACAAAATGTCCTTAGTTAATACTTTTCAGTTTTGTGTCTGTGAGTGGAACAGGTTGGTCTGCTTTAAGATTAACTTCAGTATTGTTTATTAAGCTTCTGAGGGTTTACAGAGAAAAGTGGACATGTTAGGCATTGGGGTGCTCCCCTGAAAGCAGTGTTCCTTTTTTGTTGCCTGTTCTCATATACGTTTCTAAATAAAGAACTGTGATTAAGAAAGAGTCATCTAAAACAGAAGGAAAAGATTGCTAGCAATCCGATTGACCCAAGGCTGGTGTAGTCAATGTAATGCCAGGCAGTCAATGTAATGTCTATTCTGTATAACACCTAGCAAAGTGTGACAAGAATGGTATCCTAATTTTAATTAAGGTGACTTTAAAGGAGCATATTTCAGTTTTCTGAAGCAAGATACTTTCACTGTAACCAAAGAAAATAAAGAGAAGCTACATTTCAAGTTTTCCCCTACATTCTTCATCTTGGGGGAATAATGATGAAAATAACGATAGCATTTAGAGAGCACTTACTAAAGGTTACCATTAAATTTTACTATACCTGTCATACATAGATATAGTGAAGCATAGAGAAGGTAGGATCCACACTTACCTCAGCTCATATAGCTGGCAAATATGTGAGCCTGGTATTTAAATCAGGCAGGAAGACCTCTGTGCCTAGCCTTTCAACTACCTAATTTAGAAGTTGTGCTGTTTCCTTTTTTTTGATTCATTTTTAGGCCACAGCCAGTGGTGCTTAGGGCATACTCCAGTCTCTGTGCTCATGGATAATTTTTGTAGTACTTGAGGAATCCATATGTGGTGGCTGGAATTGAACCTAGGTTGGTTGCCTGTGGAAAGCAAGCACCTTACGCACTCCACTATCTCCTGGGCCCCGTGTTCTTTCTTAATTCTATGTTATAACTAAAACATTTTTACAGCTACTTTAAAATATTTTAAAGTAAGTACTAAAAGCAGTATTATGTAAACGTTAACAGCATAGACTGCAAAACTGTAATAGTACCTTTTCTTTTAAAAACTTAATGCCTGGGGCCTAAACGATAGTATAGCATGTAGGGTGTTTGCCTTGCATGCGGACAACCCGCTTTAGATCCCTGGCATCCCATATGATCTCCCGAGCACTACCAGGAATAATTCCTGGGTGCAGAGCCAAGATTAACCCTTGAACATTGCGGGGTGTAACCCCAAAGGGACCCCACAAATTTAATGACCATTTTGTCCCCAGAGGAAAGTATTTTCCTTCAAAATGGGAAGTAATATTTGCTGGAGATCTGTTAAAATTATTTTGATGGTTCCAGTCGTGCACGGCATAGAGATTTATGACAAATAAGTAATCTGTCACCCAACTTGGAGGACTTCCAAATGTTTCCTCTTAGTAGCTGTTGATTTGGTTTGGATTTTATTTTTTCAATCGCTAAACAGTCAAACAAAAATGTCTGAATCACATTTGCTCCAGTCGGGGAATACCAACATGTTGAAAGACTGTTTTGCTTATTTAACATCCTACTACATTCACTTGCAACTTCGAAAAGCATTCATTTAGTGAACTGGTTTCCAAAAAGAAGAAAATAAGAAGAAGGCAAAAAAAAAAAAAAGAGCAAGTTTGCGGTTCAAGTCCCTCTTGGCCATTTGCTGCAGTGAGTTTTCATATTCCGTTTTGCTGGCGAAAGCACGCTTAACAGATTAAACCAAACTGTCCGGAAAAAAAAAAAGCGGTCTGCATCCCTCATGTTCAAGAGAGAAGGATCCCATTCCTTTTCCTTCACACATCAAAGAAGGCACTCGGGGAGGAAATAAACCATAATTAGGCATGAGCAAGCGAGCAGGCAGACCCCCTTCTCCGACTTTGCCATCCCCGCCCCCCAACCCTGGCAAGCGTCCTAGGCGCGAGCAAGGCGCCGGCCACCGCAGCAGCTGCAGCGAGAGCGCGTCCGCGCCCGCCGCCAGGATCTGGGCGGCGGCGGGGCCGCCCGGAGGCGCGCTTGCTCGGGAGCGCGCTCATGCAGCGGTTTTCTTCTACTATCCAGAGGCAGCGGGCGCGGGAGGGGCGGGGAGTAGGCGGAAGGATACGGGCGCGGAGGGACCCTCACGCTCCCTTTGACTGCGGGTTCGTGGCGTTGGTGAGGCAGCTCGGAGCGGGGTGTGATGCGGCACTGCGGTTCTTAGTCCGTTACTCCCGCTTCTCCAGAGAGGGCGGAGGAGGCGGCTGGAGCGCGGCGGTGATTTTGTGTCAGGGCTTCCCTGAGGCGCACCGAAAAGGCTGGCGGGGCTCAGGAAGAGGGGGCGTTAGGGACACCCATGCAGGCCCCCAGCCCCCGGGAGGGGAAGGGGGCTGGAGGCGAAGCCTGAGGGCTGTGGAGGATGGTGTCTGCCCAGCGGGAAGGGGCGAGCCCTGCGTGCGGCTGGTGAGGGGCTTTTGCGGGCAAGGAGAGGCTCCGCGGGGTGGAAGCGGCTCCATGCCCACTGGTGGGTGGAACGTGTTGAGCGGAATGCAGAGGTCGACTGTGGCGGCCGCTTGGAATCCTCGTCGTGGTTTCTAGCGGGCTGTTTCATTTAGCCCACGTTGGGGTTAATTCATTGAGGGCTAGTTTCGCCGGTCTGGCTCCTCCAGGAACTGGGCAACCTTGACGGGCTTTTTGTCTGGCTGCTCCGGCCCCCTTTTTTTCTTCCTCCTCCTCCAGATGCCTTTTTTCTGCCCCTCCTCGCCCGGTACAGACATTTCCAGTGCAAGCTGCCGCTCGTGGCGACTGTCGAAGCCACTTCTCCGGATTTGGGCTCGTTTGTTTTCTGGGGCGTTTTTTGAGGTGGGAGACTTCTCCTCCCCTCCACGATGGGATTTTCTTCTCGCCCCGAAATGGACTTTCATTGATTTCTGCTTACTTCAACGTTTAGTGACCAATTCCTTAGGCATATTTTTGTGGTAGTTCCTTTTTTTTTTTTAACCTCCCCTCATTTTTTTTTTTTTAAAATACATTATCTGTAAAATGGAGAACGAGATTTTTACCCCCCTTCTGGAGCAGTTCATGACCAGCCCCCTGGTCACTTGGGTAAGTGGGTGTCCTTTATTGTATATTTTGCGGCATTATCTGTGGCTGCGGAGATGGAGGTGGGCGTTCGTGGCTTTAATGATCTTTCTCTTCTAGGTGAAAACGTTTGGACCTCTGGCCGCGGGAAATGGGACCAACCTGGATGAGTATGTGGCTCTGGTCGATGGTGTCTTCTTGAACCAGGTCATGCTTCAAATGTAAGTGTTCTTTTCCGAGGCAACTTGTTTTCTCTGGAAAAAAAATTGCCTACTGGGAACTTTGTTTTTAGCTTCTAATTTGTTTCTTTGGCCAGGAAAAAAGAAAAAAATCAAGTAGGTTAAGTATTGGACCTGAAAAAGAGGTCTTACATCTTAACATGCCCAGCCCATTTATCATACAGCCCAGTAATTATACCTGTTAAAATTGTGAAATTTGTCATTTTCCATTCTGCAGGCCATGTATTGTCATCGTCTTCAGTGCTGAAATCCCAACCACATTATGTTCTCTTTGATAGATTTTGTTTAAAAAAAAAAAAACCAAAAAAAACCCGAGACTACTTTTTCTGCTGGGAAGGGGACAGCCTTTGCTGTAAAGTTTAGGTGCATTTATAATAGATGTTCTATATTAACCTTCTTGTCTGAAAATAAATGGTTCACATTTTGAGCCCTTGAAGTAATAACCTCTCACAGGAATTTCAAACAATTCTGATTGGTGAAGGCTGTTACAGTAACAAGTAGTGAAATCTGATTAGATGATTTCTGTGATGAATTACTAGACCACTTAGTATTTGGGGAGATCATTTAAAAGAATTCTTAGAGTTAGTGTTGAAATATAAATAAGTAACTGAAATCTTGATGACCACTAAACGATTTAGTAGGCAAATTTTAATTTTTTATGATATTGGAGTTATTAAATAGAAAAATGTTTTTAGATGGGAATTGAATATTGAAATAATTGGTAGATCTGTCAGTAAAAAATTTCATTACAGGCATTATTGTATGCATAGATTTTAAATACTTCATTGTAGGTTATAAACTATTAAAGTTGTGCTCAAAATAATATGTGGTTAGCTTTATTTCTCTTGCATAAAATATGATTACAAGAATATTTTGAAACTTATTCAAGACATTCTTTAACATGTGGGAATTTTGTGTATTAATAACATTATTAGAGAATAAGTTTATATTCTGCTTCTAATTTAATCCAATAAATTATTGGATTTTGGTTTAGTTTATATTTAGGAGGATAGAAGTCAACTTCATTATAAGGCTTTCAGCAATAGCATTTCTAGTCTATGTTTCAATGATAATCGTGTACAGTTTTTGTGTATTTTTTAATCTATTGAAATATATATTACTATATAGTTCACAAAAGTTTTATTTGTATATGTTCCCAAATGTAATCGAAATGTATTTTTTCCCTTAAGAGTGGAAAGTGGAATATAGACATTTCCAGAGATAATAAATATATTTTAACTACTCTTCCATGAAATTATTTTTTATCTTTGAAAGATCCCACTATTTCCTAAGCCAAATGGTAGAATAATTGACTTCTATTTTAGGGAACACACATAACAGAAAGGATTAACTATTACAGCAGATACTCAGAACTTGTTCCCTTAACTTGATTTAGACAGAATAAATGATGAATCTTAGGGGCCAGAGCGATAGCACAGCGGGTAGGGCATTTGCCTTGCACGCGGCCGACCCTGGTTCTATCCCCGGCATTCCATATGGTCCCCCAAGCATTGCCAGGAGTAATTCCTGAGTGCAGAGCAAGGAGTGACCCCTGAGCATCGCTGGGTGTGACCCCAAAAAAGAAAAAAAAAAAAGATGAATCTTAAATGAGTGATTAACTAAAAGAGGAAAGTGCATTATTTTAGCTTTCCACTTTATGATTTTTATTTGAATGATTCTTTTTCCAAAAAATAATTTAGATATTTTTGTGTCCTGAATAATTAACTGAGATACTAGGAACAGACACTTTAGGTTATTTCTAACTTTGTGTATAGTTTTATACTTTACAATCTGTATATGTATATTTTGAAAGAAATTGTGTTACAAAATAGTGGTTGCCAGGTTGTTTTTTGGGAAGAACTACATTCCATTCCAGACCTCAGATCTGCTTCTGTTTTCAGTTCCACCTCTTAGTTTCTTAAAATATTTTTTTTTAGTGTCCTAATTCTTTTCTAAATGACCTATATAAATGAAAGGAACAGAAAAGCTAATTTTAAAAGTACACATTAGATTTTTAAAAAATAATTTGCTAAAATTAGATCAGCACAAATTTGTAATGAATTATTTACCTCATAGGGCAAGTACATTAATTTTAAAGCTGTAATTTGCTGATTTTGGAATCATTCAGTTAAGCCTGTTACCCAAATTAATGTTTGATGTAGTACATTGTATTGTCAGTTGAAGTTGAACCCAGTAACGTAACCTAAAATGTCAGTCTTAGTCTAAACAATTTCCAGATTTTATACAACTTGTGAAAAATCCTCTTTGTGGATGAAATAAATTTTTTTATTTGTTCTGAGCCACGCCCTCTGATACTCAGGGGTTACTCCTGGCCCTGTGCTCAGGAATTATTCCTGTCTTTCTCTAGGACTATATGGGGTGCCCTAGATTGAACCCAGTTTGGATATATGCATGGCCCTCTCCACTGTACTCCTATCCAGCTTCTGTAGATTAAATGTTTCTATATTCTTCATGTTTCTCTTCATTGGAGTTTGTTGAGTGAATTTTTGGATCTGTGGGTTTGTAATTTTTTTAAGGAAATTTGGAAAATTTTGGCCATTATTTCTTACATCTTTACTACCCCTTTTAGAAATCTGATTCCATGTAGCAGCTTTAGATTGCTTGATAGTTGGATTATCTTGGTTTAATTTCTTTCATTTTTTTTCCTTCACTGTTCATTTTAGATTATTATTTTGCTGTGTTTCCAAATTCATCAATCTTGCGTAATGTTTAATCTGCTGTTAATCCCTTTCCATGCAAGGCTAGTGCCTTAACTACTGTGTTTTCTCTGGCCCCGAGGTTTGCACTTATTTAGTTGTGATGCTTGTACATGTGCTTGCCAGAAGATGCGTTCTTTAGTTGAAGTTCATATTCTGGTTGCTCACTCATGTTCTTCTCAGGGGTGGGATTTCTGCTTATGGTGCTTGCACATCCTTTTGGATTCAGTTTGCACTCCATGATAGTACTTAGACATAACCTGACTACAGTATGAATAAAAACAATTTATGGTGGCACAGATCACAGACACCAAGACCTGTCAGGCAGCAGGACTGTCAAGATCCTCGTACATGTATTTTAGTGACACTGGGGTTTTGAACTTGTGACCACATGCTTACAAGTCAGACTTTCTAAGCCGCTGGACTATTCCTACAGGCCATCAATTAAGTATTTTTGATCTTTGCTCTAAGATACAGTTAGGCTCATTAGAAATAGTATAATATTTTCAGATTTTGCTGTTGTGTTAATCACATTAGTGGGGCACAAAACTCTTCTGAGTACTCATGCAGGTGACAATAGGAACTGTTTTTGTATCTGTATAATTTGGGTGGTTGGTGCCTCTAATTCTTTTTTGGTGATTCTCTATTCTTGGGTAGTTTCCTCACACATGTATGTTGGTAAGTATCAAACTGCAGATTTCTGAATGTTTCTATGCAGCTCTTTCCTCTTTAGGTGCCTTAAATATATGTATATATATACACACACACATATGTATATATATGTATGTATATTTATAAAATAATTTCTGTCACCAGACTAAGTTCTGTTTCTTAAACTCAGGGAGACTAGAGTGTTCTGCCTGGGTTCCCCATTCTTGTGCTACTGTGGCCTTGAAACTCTTTCAAGGAGATAAACTTAGGCAATTGTTGGACTGTTCAATCAGAGATCTCTTGTTTTGTTGCCTAATGTTCAATATCTTAAAAAACAATGTATATTTTCTCTTCTTACTTTTTTTTTTAGTTTTTTCAGTGAGGAGGATAAAGTTAATTCCAGTTATTCCTTCTTAATCAAAAGGAGAGTTATACTTACAATATTCAGTACATTTTTTTTTACCCTGCCAGTCTTGTATTGCTGCCTTCAGATGTAGTTTCAAAAAAAATTTTTTTAAAGGAGCATTACAGAACCAAAAGTGGATCTAAAATATTTAATAATAATGTTAGTTTGGTGACTCTGGTTTTGTCATTTGGATTTAGAATGTGAGAGTAAAGAGTTAATTTCTTCATGTTAGTATTTACCAAGTGAGCCTTAAAAATATTTCAGAGGCTGTTTCTGGCAGTGGGATTCACTGTATTCATTGATGAATCCTGTATTTCATTGAGTTACTCCTGGAATCAAAGAATCTCTGTAAGAGCTTGTGACATGGCATCAGTCTTCTTTAACTAATGGGAAGGGGAAGCTATTCAGAGATTTGGAATGATGGGCCAACTCTTCTGCATGCTGTAGGGCATTTTCCTACTTCAACCAAATGAATAACTTTTTTTCCCCCTCAGTGCTAATTATCTGATAGAAGGCTTGATGATAGTGAAGTAGAATTATTTTCTTTTTGAGATGTGCTGTTCTGTAACCAATTCTGAATATTGTTTGTTATGAGTTTTTAAGAGATTTGTGACACTGTAATTAATTTACAGTTTTCTGTTTCAAAAATGTGCTGTTGAGCTGGAGTGATAGCACAGCAGGTAGGGTGTTTGCCTTGCATGCGGCTGACCCGGGTTCGATTCCCAGCATCCCATATGGTTCCCCGAGCACCACCAGGACTAATTCCTGAGTGCATGAGCCAGGAGTAACTCCTGTACATTGCTGGGTGTGACCCAAAGAGGAAAAAAAATGTGCTGTTTATGTTACCTAAGCAGTTAGAATAGGATATATTAGAGTTGATAATATTGTCTTAGAACAATGTTTGGAATAGCTTCCTATGATTGAATCTCACTAGAGAGTCTTAGAGTTCTATATTTGAAATACTTGGTTAGTATGATATACTCACTATGACTTTTCTTATTTTAGAATGTTGAGTTTAAAGGAACTTTAAATATTTTTTACTATGAAAATAATTTGGAAAGGCTTCCAAATGCTCTGCTGGCTTAGCAATACCTGGCCAAGCAGGCCTAATAGTTTGATACTAGGGCCTGGTAATGTCATGTTGTTCAGGCTCACCAGTGCTAGGAGCCACTAGGACCCACCCCATTGGCTCCCAGGGGCCTTCAAGA